CCCCCTCCCCCATGGGTTCCTGTTAAGTTTCTCAGGATCCACATAAGAGTGAAACCATATGGTATCTGTCTTTCTCTGTATGGCTTATTTCACTTAGCATCACACTCTCCAGTTCCATCCACGTTGCTACAAAAGGCCATATTTCATTTTTTCTCATTGCCACGTAGTATTCCATAGTGTATATAAACCACAATTTCTTTATCCATTCATCAGTTGATGGACATTTAGGCTCTTTCCATAATTTGGCTATTGTTGAGAGTGCTTATGCAGAATATTTTTATGCTGTTCCTCTTATGTTACTATCATTGCTTATATTTTGAAATGTACTTTTATCTGTTCCTCTTTGAATATAACATCTCCTCATTCTTCTTTCTAAACAGACATCCATTTTAGCACACTTCTTCATTTAGTTTCTTCTTTTTTTTTCCCCACCTTATTCTGTCCTCTTCTACCATAAAGATGTCATTAGAAATTTTAGGTGTGGGTTGTAAATGATGTTTTCTCTGCTCTACTTCTGTTTCTCCTACTTCATCCAATGGAAGATGCCTAGGAATACCTAGTTTTTCTGAACCTTTTATTAGTTTTGCCAACACTGAGCTCACCTTGAATACTGCCCTGTTATACTCCCCCCGATGTTAGGCTGGTAGTGCTGTTTGTCTGCCCTACAGTGGATATTGGATAGGCAGTGAACTACCTATGACAGTGGAGAAAAAATAGCTAGAAAGTTCTTCCCAACACATTTGGGGTTTGTGGTTCTCTTCTCTGGAAATCTTTTCTCTCTCAGAATGTTCTCACAGTTTTTATGTTAATTCCTTAGGTCTATAAACCTCAACTGAATTTCCGTAGCATCTCAAGGCTTAACTCTGTGAGAGGGAGTCAGCAGCCTATGCTAGCTGTCTTTTTTTTTTTCCAGGAACTAAAGTCTTTATAATATCATTTTTATAACTGTATATGGAGTGCTAAATATTTGCAGTTTGCTCACCAGTAGCTTACAAAATATGGAAATATTTCTTAACAGAGTGGAATATATTAACTTTATTTAAAAAATTTTAACCTTCCCAGTTCTGATAGTATCAGCAGTGACGAGGAAGAACTGAGGACTTTGGGAAGCAGTGGTAGTGAAAGCAGCACTCCAGAGAATGTCGGGCCTCCTTTCATCATGGATGAGAATAGTTGGTTCAACAAGTGTAAGAGAGTTAAACAAAAGTATCAGCTAACCCTGGAACAGAAGGTATTTATCAGTTGCCAAAAGTCATTTAATTTGATTCTCATTATTGCGTTTGGACTGTCACTGCCAAAAGATTTTAGTTGAATGTAAGTGTTGACCCGCTGCTACTTCCTTTCTGTTCTTGAATTGTCCTCTTAATTAAAAATCAGGCATAGTTTTAAAAGAGGCTTTTGTTTGTTCAACTTCTAATTTTATGTTGTAATATAAAAATAAGCCATTTAGGGGCTCCTGGGTGGCTCAGTTGGTTGAGCGTCCCATTCTTGATCTCAGCTCAGGTCTTGATCTGAGGGTCATGAGTTCAAATCCCACGTTCGGCTCCACATTGGGTTCCACACTGAGCTCCATGCACGACGTGAAGCCTACTTAAAAAAAAAGAAAGTAATTTATTGTTTTGTGTGCAGTTTCATTTATATGTTTGAGATTTTAACATTTAGTAGAATAAAGATAAAACAAATACTAAGCAAAAGAATTCTATATTAATATCATTCGACATAGACCTTAAGGCAAAAGCACTATTAAATAGACTAAAGAAATACATTGCCTTTGAAAAAAAGTAACAGTTCACCAGAAATGTATAACATGGTGAGATGGGTAAAATGGATGAAAGGGTCAAAAGGTACAAACTTCCATTCTACTTATTGCAGCAAACATATCTTATTGAACTTCAGAGAAGGGCTTTAAATGGTGGAGAACATATGTTAAATTTTCATATTTAATTGAAAGGATTATTTTTTTTATGATTTCATCAATAATGTTTTGAGATTGTTTCATTACAATATGGAAAGAATAGCATTTAAGCTACTCAGTATTTACTTTCAAGATATATATTAGATTTTTGCAGTTGCTTTATCTCAATGATACTGTATTTTCAGGGTTATCTTGAAGAACTCTTACGACTTAGAGAGAACCAGCTGTCTGAATCTGTCTCCCAGAATAAAATACTGCTTCAAAGGATTGAAGATTCTGATCTGGCCCATAAACTGGAAAAGGAACAATTAGAATATATAATTGTGGAGCTTCAAGATCAGCTGTAAGTGAGCTCCTTTTGGAAAAATATTGGCGGTGTATAAACATAAGAAAATGTCATGTTTTGACGTAGGATTCAAATTCCAAGAAGTCTGATTGCTTGCTATTAAGTTATTTTCCACTTACTCTTTTTTAAAAGTTTACTTTTCTTATTTTAAAAGTAATCCGTGCTCATTATAGTTAGATTGCAAAATATAGAAAGAAAATAAAAATTACTTTCAGTTGTGCTACCCAGAGTCAACTGCTATAACTTGGTGTATATTCTTTCAAATGCATAAACATAATTTTTTAAAAGTGTTTATTTAGTTAGTTATTGGTTGACTGAATATTGGTTAAAAAAGATGGTATATAAGACCAGTACCACTCAGAGTATAGTGACAGTGCAGTGTTTGTTACCTGGCTGTCCCAGAATATCACTAAGCACAGTTTAGGAGAGCCTTTTCCATAGCAGTACTTTTTTTTTTTTTTTTTTTTTTTTTTTTTTTTTTTTTTTTTTTGATAGTTGTTTGTGTATTGATCTGCCACCAGCCCTTAAATTATCACTATTCAAAGCACTTGTACTGATCACCATTTTGTCAAACTTGATTTTATTAATTATTTGTTTATGGTGAAAATCTTGTCACATGAATATTTAATCTTAAAAGATGATTTAAAAGTTTTTTTTTTGAAATAATTTCAACATTTCAGAGAAGTTGCAAGGAGAGCACAAAGAATTCCCATAGGGCATTTCTTAGATTTACCAATTTTCAACACTTGCCACATTTGCTCAGAATTCTGTCCCTCTTGCATACCTCATAACTTTTTCCCGTAATACTTCAGTTGTGTCTTTCCTAGGAACAGAAATATTCTCATATATAAGCATAGTTCATCTATCAACTTAAATTTAATTCAGTACAGTACTTTCATCTTACCCATAACTCATTTCAATTTCATTAGTTATCCAAATAATGACTCTTATTGCAGCTTTCCTTTTTCTGGTACAGGATCCAGTCCAGAATCATGTTTTTCATTTGGTTGTTTGCATCTTTGGTCACTTTTAACCTAGAAGAATTTCTCAGTCTTTGTCTTGCATGAGATTATTTCTGAAGAATACAAGCTAGTAATTTTATAGAATGTCCCACAGTTTGAGTTTGTTTGCTTTTTCTCATGATCAGAATGAGCTCATCAATTTGTGGATGCAATATTACATACATAGTATGTCTGTCAGTGCTGTGGATATCATATCCAGAGGTCCATGGAGTCTTTTGGGCTTTTTTTAGTGATACTAGTTTTAATCATTTGGTTAAGATGTTTTTCTCTCTGTATAGTAATTATGGTTCCTTTTAATTAAAGGATGTTACATATTTTGCACAGAGATCCTTTGAGAGCTAGTCAAAGTGAAAGATGATTTTTAAGTAAAAATTTTTTATTAATAAACATAAAACTTTAATGCTTTCTAGGAATTTGTATCTTGATGAAAAGAATTATGTTCACATATTATTTATTTTTTTCCTAATATTTTAAAGAGAGTTTGTCATTTGGAGTATTACTCATTGAGGGGCAGATTAATACCTTCCATAAGTCCTCACTTCTATAAGTGGGGAGAAAAATATCAAGAGCCAAACAATATGGATTTCTAGTTATTTCTCTACCATTAAAAAAGTAAAAAGATAATTTAATTTTTCATTTGCAGGTGATGCTGGTAGTCTTTCTTAATGGTGTTAACTTAAAAAATAATTGTGAAATCAGTTTTTATTTTGTCAAAGAAATATTTTCATTTGAATAATTAAAATGTATCATTTATTGTACTTTGGATAATTTAAAGGAAAAGATTCTTATGATTTGCCTCCCTCTCTGTTTGAAACTATTTTTTCCCCTTCCCTCCCCCCATGGTCTTTTGTTAAATTTCTCAAATTCCACATAAGAGTGAAAACCATAAGAGACTCTTAAATACAGAGAACAACCTGAGGGTTGTACGGAGGGAGAGCGGATAATGGGTGACGGGTATTGAGAAGGGCACTTGTTGGGATGAGCACTGCGTGTTGTATGTAAGCGATGAATCATGGGAATCTACTCCCAAAGCCAAGAGCGCTTTGTATATACTGTATGTTAGCTGTATGTCATACACTGTATGACAGTGTATTATATTTAAAAAAAACAAAACAGTAAACAACAATCAAAAAAGGAAAAGACTCAAACTTTTTAGTTTTAAAAAAGAATCTAAAATACAGTTTTATGTATGATAAGAGTGTCATTGATACTTAAAATTGTTTTTAACAAGCCTTTAAGGAGATTTAAACTAAATATTATCAGAGCAACAAATAAATAATGAAGGCCAACAATCAGAATTAGGCTGTTTTCTTGACTTTAGGGTTAAAGATTTACTTTCACATAAGATGGCTACAATCTTAGCCAGGTGTAAATTGCTGTCTTAAAAGATTCCTTTGTGCAAAAACCATTTTACAAGGATACTGAATAGAAGAGTAAGATACATTCCTTTGAGAGTCTTCACAATTCACTACATCAACTGAATCATCTCTCAGGTACTGAATACTCTGGGCATTTTTGTGATTGTAGAGAGAGTGGACTTTTTTTCCTTCTTTTCTTGCTGAGATTTTTGTCAACAGTTAGGAGGGCCTGCAGTGAAAGCTGGGCATTTAAATTCTCTTTGTTAATCCTGAGAAGATAATAGTGGCCCTGAGAAGATTAAAATTTGTGATGTGTAAAGGAAAAGGTCAGGAGAGGGGTTTAAATGGATTATGTAGAATGTAATATTTGCTTTCACGTTATGTTAATTATCTTTTCCTGGTTGATTTAAATCCTTTGTCACTTACCTTATTCTTTTTATATATTTCTCAATGCGTTGAGAAATATGTGTTTGGTGTGTTTTTGAATAACTGTTAAAATATGGTTTAATTTGTCTCAAAAAATGTGAACAGTCTACAGTTTTGGCAATAGAATTTAAGAGTGACGTAGTAGAGGAGCATTCTAAAGCTTTCCTGCGTATGTGGACTGTGTTCAGATACTGGCTTTATATTTGCCCGTTACGAGCTCAGTCTTAACGTCCTGTATCCTCTGTCTCCTTATCTATAAACTGGAATTGATATTTACCTTGTGGATTGCTATGAGTATTAAATGCTGTTGTATATAATATAGTTAGAACAAACAAAACATTCAATGATTATTCCTCTATTTTGGTCTCTAGAAACTTTAAAATCTCCTTTAATAAATACACCTGGATAAATGGTAAATTTAAAATATTTTACTTTATCATGCCCAGATGCTACACATCAAACAATGAGTTTGGACTTAGATTGTGTTATCCCCAAGTTTCAAAAAATTTGCTTTTCAGATCTAGTTTTTAAATGGCATTTGGATTAATATTTATAATCATAATATAGGTTTGTGTATATTGTGAGGAAGACACTCATGGCCCCTGAAGATTTTACTGGTATCAACTTTAACTGCAAGTCTTTTCTTCATTGATCTCTGATATATTACTAATTTGGATTATTTTAGATTATTAGGCTTTGACAAAGATATATTTGAGTGATTACATTTATGGTGGTAGAGTTTAAAAGTATTAAATAATTTTAAATCTCCAAATAATGATTGGAAATAATCCTATCATTTCATTGAGAATACAGCATAATTCTAGGTTTTTATTCTGATAGTTTTATTGAAATCTGTGGTACACATTTATTTAAATGACTTTTAACTCCATTTTACTTATATATTAAACTTCATTAAATAAATACAGTCTTAATGTATCAGTTATATTTTGAATCATATTTGGAAAGTTTCTCATAATATTATGAAATATATTGGTTTTGGCCTTATAAAAAACTTACTGTCATATTATTTATGCTGATTTGTGGAAAACTTTTCATTTTTGTATTTAGTTTTTTTCAGTAAGCACTTATTTAAGTGTATACTTCTGTACTTGAGAGTAATAGAATACAGAGAAGAATAAGACAGTTTCTCTGTACAAGGACCTCATAAGCTAATCAAGTGGACAGATTGACATCATTGGTCACATTGTTAATTGAAGAGTATCCTACATGGGAGGAAAGCTTTGTCCTCAACCACAGGTTTAGATCTTCAGATCGATGATCTCTTGTACAAATAACTCTTTGTAAAACACTCATTGCAAGCCAAAGGAGTAGGCAGCCTCAGAACAGTGTACATTATTAGTTCTTAGAGGATATATTAATTCTTACAGGATATTGTTGACTTTCAGAAGAAAATGTTGATGCCCTACTTAGTTACCAGTGAAATGAAGATTTTGTTCTTTGTTTTGCTTTCTCTCTTATTTTGAGAATATGATGAACTTGTTATATATAATCACTTCTGTAATGTGAATTAACTCATACAGGATTCACAAACTAGGATGTGATGTCCGTATAGCAAAGAAATCACCTTGAGTCATAGTTGATTTTTCCTGAGGTTACTGTTTCTCAACAAGAAACATGAATGGAATGCAAAAATACCAATATGGGCACATACTGCAATGCACCAATAGATGGCACTCTCTCACTATAGTACTCTTTCATCATGCATTCCTTTGGTTCAGTTGAACTTTATCTTGAACATGCTCTTTTTGTCCTTACCCAGGTTTGTGCATTCTATCGTTGCCTTCTTGGCAAGCCTTAACCTCAGCAGCCTCAAGCCTTCTTTCCACCCTTTTCTATCAAATGGCTTTTACTTTGTTGTTAAAGTTGTTGTAACATGATTATTATATTTCTTTACTTAATGGGAATTTAACCAATATTTTAAATCTGGTTTGGAATTTTGTTAGAAATGTCACTGTTTTTTTAAGTGTGTTATAGTTAGAAAGTTGAATAGGTTTTGAATTGTTAGCTCCTACCTCTGTTTTACCCATAAGGCTGGTTATTTCCAGTGTGATATTTCAGAACACTTTGTTTTATTTTGTTTCTGTGTTATAGCAGAAACGCCCATATTCATTGTGCTTCTATAGCTTGTAATTATTTTAGTTTTGATGATCATGTTGTCCCATCTTTGTCT